GTGACCTCTTTCTTTGGTCTCTACCTGCCCTTTACATTCAGGGCCTGTTTCAGATTACTTCCAGGAAGCTCTTGAGAGGGTTGTGAATCAACAACTACCTCATATTAACTGCTGTCCTTTATATTTATGGAAACTCTTTGATGATTAATGGATAGTTGAATCAAACATACTGAGGAAGTGGTTACCCATCTTGATGAATTCATCTTATAAAGAGACAAAATCTTACGTTGAGGTTTGTTTTGTAGTTTCCATTGAAATCTTGCAGGGTAGGTTGTAGTGGATTGGGTATCTTTTATGTTATTTTCTGGGAGGAAATTATGTCATAGGGGAGAAAATTGAAGATGAGAAAATTGAACGCCGACTATTTAATTGCTCAGTAAGATTCTGAGGAGTGGATATTAGATTTTGAATTGGTGGTAGGTGGTGGAGATAAGATGGTCAATGTGCATGGGAGGCACAGAATAGTCAGGACTAAGAAAAGAGGAAGAGGACTATTAATGGCTATTTGCTAAAATAAATAATAGAAACTGTGTGCTGATCACACTATGTGACAAGAGTGTGTTATTTGCTTTACAGGAACTTGGTAAAGCTATCAGAGTAACCCTGTAAGTGAATTTTGTGGATTAAGAAACAGGTCTTATGAAGAAATTTGCCCCAAATTTCAGTGTTTAGTGGTAGAAACCTATCTGCAAAGTGGTTGGCGTACTGTATCCCTTATATGAATTAAAAAGCTGCTGGAGCACTACTTCTCTTGTGGAACCACAGAGGTTAACTAGCTGGATCTTCCTTAGATGTAGCAAAGCTAATGATTGTGTACAAGTTTCAATTCTTTATTGTCAATGAGAGGGAGGTAGGGATTGGATAGCATTGATAGAGACGTGGTGAGAAAGTATGATCTGAGATTAAGATAGAACAAATTTAAATGGGCAGGAGTAAGTAGAGGAGAGAAAAATTCCATGGCTCCAAATCACTTAATATTGATCTAAGTGACATTTTCTACAAACCAATTCAGACTTTTCTAGAGTATAAATTGACCTATATCCTAATTTTGAGAATGTATTAATAAACAAAACTGGATCACCCCACAAAATTCATAAGCTAAATGTAAATATCAGCCATGGTCCTGAGTCCTCTCAGTTGGATTTTATAAGGTCAGGTGAATTTATTTATAATATATAAATTTATACTTATTGATCACTTGCTTTGTTGCAAGGCACTTTGCTAGGCTGAAGATACAGAATAGATGAGGGCCTTGGCCACACATATAGATAAGGAAAAAGATAAACATCAGATAATTGGTTATGCAGAGAATTTACGGTGATGTGAAGACTACTTGATAATGTGGACTGGGAAGCACGCCCTAGGAGGTGACATGTAAGCTAAGACCTGGATAACAAAAATGAACTACTCCTACAAATCCATGGTAAGAGGAAGAAATTCTAGGCAGAAGGACTAGCTAGTACAAAGGTGGGCACAGGCTTGTTGACATTTGGCACTTGGATGATGGGGGCTATCCATATTTGAATAAATTGCATCTAGATTGGTGATGAACATAACATAATGCCAAAGGTCATGTGAACAGATTTCATTGTTATGTACCACCAGATGCTGCAGTGCAGTATGGTATTTTGCAGTTTTAAAGTTTTTGTTGCCTCCTATTAAAGCTAATGCATTTTTAAAAAATTTACATTGTCAGCCCTGAAAAGCACAACACATATCCATTCCTTATAGGACCTAGTCCAGTGTAATAATGCAGTAATTAGATCTCAACTTATGAGTCAGTATTGAGTGAATGGTCAAAACAACTTTGCTTTCAAACATTGCCACAAACTGTATTCCTAACTTGAATTACCTATTTTACAAATAATCCTCATGACTGTTTAGGGACCACAAGGGCTAGTTGTGAAAATTCACCATTACTCAAAACAACTCCAAGTTTATTTCTTAAGTAATACTGTATATAATCTAAAATGACCCGTTAAAATATCTATGCTTGCTCTCTTCTGAATTTCATGCTTCACATTCTTTGGAAAGTGAACTTAATCTATAGATGATTATTATCCCCCTGTATTTGTCTATAATACTATCTCTACACCAAGGATGTTAAAATGGTGTTGCCTCTTCACATTTGAGAGCTTTTAGGGAGAAAAACATTTGTTCATTAAAAGGACTTGTTTTGACTTCTTGAAGTATAAAATTGATATTAGCAGTTTTTATATGTGTCCAGTTTTTATATGTGTCCAGGCAAGGCTAAAGAGATGATTTATGACATCCTAACTCCCATTCCATAGCTTTTAATTCCAACTGGCACCGTTCTCCATGCCACTGGGGTCCCCCCGTCTTGGTAATACTTCTGGTTACACAACCTCCAAATGATCATATTTCCTCTTGATCATTGTTTTCCTCTTTAAAATTCCCAGGTCCTTACTGTTTGCACAGCAACCTCTCTGGGACATTAATCGGTGCTAATGCTTCAGTGAGTTTAGAAAACAAACCTGTGTTTTTACAGTCAAGCCGTATCCCCTCTGTCTTAGGTCTGTTTCCTTCAGCATTTCTTCTTGCAGGGAGGCTCTAGGAATTTGGTCCACCTGCCTCTCTTCTTGTCAGCAATCACCCATCTACCTTATTTTCAAGGAAGGTTGGTTCATCCATGTTTGGCTTTGGGAAATGTGTCAGTTCTTGGTTTCCTAGTGAAAAGGCCTGTGTTAATTAGGAGACGGTTTGTTGTTGCTGTTGTTGACTTTATCTTCTCTACATTTAACCTGTGTCGGCAAATTCCCTCATCCAAAAAGGATGTGTTACAGAGCTAGAGTTTGAAGAACTAAATTAATATTGACCAGGGCCATATTTCTATCCTTTTTCTTAGGTACAGGGCAATAGGCCTAGCTGAAGCCTGGCATTAATTAGCTGTGAGAAAGATTTGTAGGTGTAGGGAACAATTACAAAGGGCTTAAATGTGGATTCTACAATAGCTTCATACAGAATATCTCTGTGCCCACAAATCATTTTCTTCTGGATATCTGTTTTCCCCATGCCAGCTCAAAGACCAACAGAATGTTATCAGGACACCACTGAATGATTTACTTGGTTGTGACTGCCTTTAGTAAGTGAGACATATATGCAATAAAAGTATGCAAGTATATTCTCCTGACATTTCTCCTTAAAGAGCTTCAAAAACTATTGGCATTGTTTTATATTTTGAGCAATGCTCCGTACCATTTTTATGGTTTACATGGGCATTCTAATCCAGTAATATGAACAAATTTGCTTCATAGCCTTTTCATTATTTATGACAAATTCAAGAAACGATTCTGCAGTCAATATCTATGACCTAATTTTTTGGATTTAAATTTAAATTTTAAATTTAAAACTTTTAAAATTTAAAATTTAAATTTAAATTTTTAAATTTTAAATTTTAAAATTTAAAAACATTTTTGAAATTTTTAAAATATTAAAATTGTTTAAATTTTAATTTAAAAAACATAGGTACCATTTTGGACCACTGATGGACCCAATTTTAGAAATTGTTAAAACCTATGATATTAAGTAGTTGTCAATATTTCTGAGTACTAAAATCATGCAGGAACACTAATCAGAAATGTTTTATATGGCAAAAAGTAGAATAGCTTTCTATTAATTGGACAAAAGTGTTATGGTTAAAAAAATTCAAATTAATTTGAACACTGCTGAAGTTGACCAAAAGTTAGCACTCAACAGTGCTAGATGTAACAAGATTCTTAGTTGAAAAATGCATACTAAACTAACTCATTCTTAAATTTAGGATGATAAAACATTTAAATCTAAGTTCAAGGTAAAGTCTTCCAATTTTGGGATATGAATTTCTCTAAAAAGAAAAATAGGATTTAGGAAACCCAATACTTCCCTCCTTTTATAATATTTAGAGGTCCTTAATGAAATTGTTAGCTGTTGCAGCTTCTTTGTATATTGAATATTGTGTAATATAGGCTACCACTAATTTTGGGGAACTTTGTTGGCAGTGGATCATGGACATGAAATTTTTGTGAACCATTATGGAGATTAGTGCAATTCAGGTTTTTTTGGAAAAATCATATTTTTAAAATACATTCTTTGTAATAAATGTTATTTTAAGTAAGAAAAATTTGTTTTCCACCTTTGCTATTGCCTAACAATTTGTAAAACCAAAACGGAACCAAATGTTAGTATGTGGACCCTTGAAGAGGAATACCATTCTAGCACTGTGCTCAGAAAAATGTGGGGAAAATGGAGTGACAGCTTGGTTTCCTCCCCCACTTTTTTTTTTTTTTACCCACCTTTTACAATCAGAGAATTGGTTTGTAGCTTGCACTTTTCTAGAGAGATGAACAATACATTCCTCTTACCCACAATGTGTTTGTAATTTGTTGAACAGTTGTCTTTAAAAATTTTTGGATTCTGTTTCATTTTTGGTAAACAAATTAAGGGACTTGAGCAGGGGCAAAGGTTTAAGGATCAGTAGGCAAACATTCCTAGATAGAGATGTTAACCCTATATAGGATGCTTGTCTTTTCTGTTAGATCATCAGCTCCATGAAAGCAGGGGACTATGACCACCCCAATCCTAATGTTTCCCCAGCATACCGTATATGGTAAAGTTCAAACATTCATTCAGTGGATTAAGAACTGTTTGACATGAGAAAGCCATCTGCTGCCATAAAATAACTAATACACTTAACTATCTTTGATAAAAGTAACTTTCAAGGAAAGGAGGAGACCTACAATGAACCAGAATTTATGGAGGCTGTTGTCCCCAGTTCTTTGATAAACAGCATGACAATATGTAACAATATCGTAGTCACTTGAACTCTCTGAATTTTGTGCATCAAATCCTGAAATTAAGGAATTTGAGTAGGTGAACCTAGCTTGAAAATTCTGGAGGTCATTCAAATTTTAAACTGCTTCCCAATTTTGAAATCACTTAGTATAGAAGTCAAAGAGCATAGCACTTTCAGGTTTTAAGTAATAGACAATGAATATTAGAAAATTTAAAAATTTTAATAAATGTGCTTTGTTCACAAAATGTGAAAAAATACAACAAACACAAACATACATTTTCAGATATGCCATCTCCCACCATTTGGCAACTATGATATAAACCATTTTTTATCAAGTCATGATCCTGAAGAATCTAATCAAATGATCATTTATTTCTGAAACTCCAAATTATTTTGGAGAATCCTGTTCTGAGACAGGAGACCCCTTAAAACTTATTTATATCTATAGGAAATCATTCTCAAGAGTACCCATTCAGTATTAAAAGGCTCTGTTAACTTCTCTTGTCATTACATATATCTTCTGGCACCAAGCCACAGGACTGCTTATATTTTAACACATAAATGTTAAACTGGCTTTGGTGGAATATGTATTAGTTTAAATCCTGTACCAACCTAATTTGAAGCTGAATTTACAGTAACAAATGACATTTATAAATCCAAACAAATTTATACTAAGTGGGAGTAGGTTTTATAAAGAGACTTTTCTTTAAAGTACTACTTAAAATACATCATGCACACTTTGGAGCATAAGCAGAATCAACATCTGTAAACAATCAGAAAAATTTATAGCACCAACATGTTAGCTGTAACACAAAGGCTGACTCCAAGGTCATACTTACACCAGCCTCTCAAAAGCCCGGTTTTCATTTACTTTCAAAGCACTTTAATTAGATATATTGTTTTCTTTGCCCTTAAGATCATATTTCGCCAAATCAAAGGAAATGGGTAATATGGGTAAAAGAGGTACTACCAAAACATAGTAAACACAGTTTTGTGTTACCTGAATAGAGTGGGTTTTTTTTTCCCTTCTTTTGGGGGAGATAAAGATGGGACCTACAGTGCTTAATTGGAAAGAAAAGTCAAATCTTAATTATTAAGGGCTCTGAGGCTATTGAAAATAAATGAAACATTTCTAGTTACTTTTGGCATATTTGAGCAACCATTGTTTATTGCATTCATTCAACTGACTTTTTAGGTTAATTACAATCCTGTTACTTTCATTAATTTAGAACATGAAATTTAATTTGAAATATCGGGTATATATACCCAAACACTGGTATCTTAAAGGGTAATTTTATATTTCTAAATAAAGTCTGACATTCAAAGTTAACTACAGCAACTCACAATAAGCACAAAAACATCAATTTTACCAGAGTAAAGAAGTGCAGTTTATGAAATTTAAGGATCAACTATTGAAAATGCAAGTTTCCTTGAAGAACATACACACACACGCGCACGCGCACACATAACATTAACCATGGATTCTGAAACTGTGATACTTCAGTGCAAAAACCTCAGTATGAGGTAATTTTAATGTAATAACCACTTGAAAAAAAAATCCACACAGTGGCACTCTTAAAAACGACAGTTTACATGACAATTGCTGGCTGACAAGACAACGTGGACCAAATGTTCTTAGCTATTTAAACTAATCTTGTCTTGTTTGGACATATTTTTCTCCTTAATCATTTGCTTCTGATTCAGAAACACAGAAAGTCATTTATCAATGTGGAAAGGGAAAATTCCCACAGCCAACTAATGGTTTATATATTCAAAGAAAATTTTCTGCTAGAATTTTGATAGACACTAGAATACCGAAAGGTCAAAACCATTTTATGAGATTGCTAGCAGAGGGTTAATTTAAAAATTTTCTATATAATTCCAGACTTGTAGTGCAGCACACCTCCTTAATGGAAAGGTGAGAACCCTAATAAGGTTGGTCTAGACAGAACATAAACTCTTACAAGTGCAAACCCTTTCACAAAGGTGTTTCAGGTCAGGATCGAGTATTGTTCCTTGCTTAAATAGAAAATTTTGTAAATGAAACCTAAAATTAAAAAAGGTAAGAGTGAACTCTCACAGTTAAATATACTTAACACCAAGGCCTAAATCAATATGAAATATATGAACATTCTACTTTGGCAATGGTGTTTATTGTACTGTACTAATGAAATTAGAATACATACTTGGGGGAAATCTTTCCCCAAATGTCTGATGCTGCCAAATGAGCAAAAAAGAAAAAAAAAAAAAAATCAGTTCCAGAAAGTTGAGGAAACGCTGGATCACCAGACAAAACTGAACAGAAAATGGCTTTCTGTAACAGATAACAATTTAGCTAGAAAAGAGAGTAAGTGCATCACAAAACAACTAAACCAATCTATCTCTGTCACATTTAACTTGTGAGTAATCAAAGTGCAAGCTACAGCTTTCTACATCTTTCTCATTGCAATGGTTTAAAGTCAACACTGAAAAGATTAAAAAAGAAAAATACATAGCAAGTTATGCTTCATTTTCACAATAGCACTAAAGAAAAAAGGTACCTTTCTATAGTATCTTAGTGCTAAATGCTAAAGTAACAGTGGTTTCTGCTATGACAGGAGTCACTCTGCATGAAACTTTAAGCTTTCTATATAAGAATAAATTTTAAAATCCAGAAGTAGAAAAAAATAGCAAACTCTGTAAACCTTTGCATTTCTTCTATGCAAACCAGGTTTTAAGTACTGAGTTCATGTTAGTATTTCTGATTAGTGTAAGGAATTAGTTTAGAAGTCTGGACTGAAAGGGCCTTTTGCTTTGCTATTAACTTAAAAGTAATATGGGATCTTCTAGCTCATAGAAAGGAATAGAGCTGGCTTGACTTTCTCCAGAATCTGAGTCGTATGGAGCATCAGGGAGCTCTGTGAAACCATATGCTAGTTGTTCATCTTCCATATCTGATCGAACGTAGCAGGAAGGGTTAGAATATTCCTCTTCTTCTATACTGTTGAAATCTTGAGGAATATATAACATCCCTGGGTAGTTCCTACTAACCAAGTCACTTGTGGTTTTTAGGGAGATTTTTCTAAATGCCATCAAATGCATATGTGAAAATTTTGAATACTTGAAACGTTTAAAGCCCAGGGATTCTATAGCAATCTTCCAGCTTTTCATCATCATAGCATGACGGTTCTGATGGGAGGAATCAGGTGTGATGATAAGCAATAAACCATTTAACACTAACAGTTCATGGGCTTTCTTGCAGCAAATCCATCGTTGGTAAGGCGATGGAAAATAAGAAAGGAGGAGAGAGAAAACCACCACATGGAAAAGCTCTCCAGGAAGAGAATCAATAGGGTTTTTCAGCTGCTTCAAAAAGGCATCTATAGCATCCTGTGCAAGCTGGAGTGGCTGCTGAAGCTGCAAGTTCAGGAAGTCACATTTATATACACTCTGCAGAAAGGGAAAAACAAGGCATATTCAGAATCTGAAGATCACTTCCACCCTATTACACAGATTTTACACCACACCGTGTCACAGCATTTCTACATTATCTAAGCTTTAATTCTTAATTTTTCCCTTCTACGTGATTCCACTTGAACAGACATTCAAACTAAACTTTTACTCAATAAAATTTCAAAGAGATTACAATCAAGCCCAGAGAGTTTCTTCTCATTAAAAAACTAAATATTTCTGCCTAACAATTTGAAATTTAATTTGGATAAGAGCTTACCAGAAAGATTTATCTAAACTTAGTCATATTTACTTTCACTTCAACATTTATAGTTAACAAAGACCAATATAAAAACTTTAAACAATACTATTAAATAAAGATGAATCGAAAAGGATAATGAAAGAGGCATTATACATTTGTAAAAGCAGAGCACCAAAACTTTTCAAGGTCATGAAAAATGTCTTTAAACCATTAGCTCGAATCATCTTAAAAATAATTTTAGTATTACATTTATTCTATTAAACAACCAGAATAAAAAGTTTTAAAATTAGATAAAAATTAACTAACAATGATATGGACTAATACTTTATTCCCTCATTCTTGCTAGTAGGTAGACAAGCTGAGCACATAATTATGTGGACTATCTATTAGAGAAAGTAACACATAACACGAAAAAAGAAAAATGTTTTTCTCCTTCCCATTGCTTCCCCTCCCTCCATTTTTTTTTTTTTTTCTTTTTTTAAATGATTGGAGGGTGTGAGAGTGCATGCCAAATGGGAGGAGGGGCAGAGGGAGAGAATCAGCAAGCAGACTTTACCTGAGCAGGGAGCCCAACACAGGGCTGGATCTTATAATCCATGACCTGAACCAAAACCAAGAGTTGGAGCCACCTAGGCACCCCCACCTTTTTTTCCTCTTAAGATAACTTTACTTCAGTATACTGGTGTACAAACAAGGAGAACTGACACACAAGTATATTTAAAGGGTACTTATTGATAAGTTTTGTCATTAAACATTCATGAAACCATGAAACGACAATCAATTTAATGACTAGACCTAACACCTCCAAAAGCTTCCTCCCTGAGCCTTTACAATCCTTTCCTGGTACCCTTCTTGTTCTTCCTGGCTACCAGGCAATTGTTCATGTGATTTCTATCATTACAGATTTAGTTTGTATTTTTTTTTAAAGATTTTATTTATTTATTTGACAGAGAAAGATCACAAGTAGGCAGAGAGGCAGCCAGAGAGAGAGAGAAGCAGGCTCCCCGCTGAGCAAAGAGCCCGACTTGGGGCTCGATCCCAGGACCCTGAGACCATGACCCGAGCTGAAGGCAGTGGCTTAACCCACTGAGCCACCCAGGTGCTCCAGATTTAGTTTGTATTTCATAAAATTTTATATGAATGGAGTAAGACAGAATAATGTCTTCTTGATTTGCCTGGCTTCTTCCACACAATACAATTATTTTGAGATTTATTCACTCTTTTGCATCTATATCTATATATCATCTATACCAGTTGACTCTTGTATATTGATCTCCTATCTTGCAACCCTGCTAAACTCATTTATTCTAGTAGCTACTCTGTAGATTCCAAGGAATAATTTAATGGATGATCAATGTCATATATGAATAAAGACAGTTTCGGTTCTTTCCAATCTTGATGCCTAGTATTGCTTTTTTCCTGACTCTACTGCGCTGCTAGCATATTGATTCTGAATCATTTCCATGAAGTTGTAACATTCAGCAAATTATGCAGTGCTGTATATTCACTTCATTGCGATAGTTCCCATCATGTAAGTTGACTTTAATACGTATTTTAAGTCAGGTATTAACTGTTTAATAAAATCTATCTATTGACAGTTTATTCTTTGCTATTGTATTGTGAGTTTTAAAATATATTTTAGATAGTAGTCCCTTATCTGAAGTAAAATGATTTGCAGATACTTTCTTCCATTCTGTAGGTTGCCTTTTCATGCTGTTACTCGTTTCCTTTGTAGAAGCTTTTTAGTTTGATGTAGTCTCGTTTGTCTATTTTTGCATTTGTTGCCTTTGGTTTTGGTAATCAGATTTAAAATATCACCATGACTGATAATCAAGATGATTACACCCAAGTTTTCTCAGAGGAGTTTTATGGCTTCCGATCCATGTTCAAGTCCCTAATCCATTTTTAGTTTTGGTGTGTAGTGGTCCCATTTCATTCATTTGCACATGATGTCCAATTTTCTCAGCACCATTTATTGAAGAGACTGACCTCCTTCCCTCTGTATATTCTCTGCTCCTTTGTTATAAATTAATCGACCATATATACATGGGTTTATTTCTAGGCCCTCTCTTCTATTTGTTCTATGTGTAGATTTTAATACCAGTATCCTAGAGATTTAATCATCATAGCCTTGTAATATAGTTTAAAATCAGGTAGTGTAATGCCTCCAGTTTCTTCTTTCCCAAGACCATTTTCACTATTTGGGGGTCTCTGATGATTCCAATTAAATTTTAAAACTGTTCTGTTTCTGTGAAAAATGGCACTGCAATTGTGATTGGGATTGCACTGAATCTGTGAACTGGTTTGGGTAGTATGATATTAAACAACATTCTTTGAATCTATAAGCACCAATCATCTTACCATTTATTTATATATTCAGTTTCTTTTATTATTGTAGTTTTCAATATATAAGTCTTTCAACCTCCTTGGTCAGATTTATTCCTTGGTACTTTATTCTGTTTGACACATTTATAAATGGAATTGTTTTCTTAATTTTTTTTTAATATTTTACTATTAGTGTATAAAAATACAATGTGTTGATTTTTTATCTTGCAACTTTACTGGATTTCTTTATTCTAACAGTTTCCAGATTTTAATCTTTAGGATTTTTATGTATAGTATATGTTATCTCCAAATAGTGCCAGCTTTACTTCTTTCTTTCCAATTTGGATGCCTCTTTTCTTTTCTTGCTTAATTGCCTTGGCAGTACTTACCCTCTACTGAATAAAAGTGGAAAGAGTGGGTATCCTTGTCTTGTTCCTGATCTTAGCAGAAAAACTGAAAAGCTTTTCACAGTTGAACATGATGTTAGCTGTGGGCTGGTCATACTTAGCCTTTCTACTATGTTGAGGTATGTTCTCTCCCTAGCCACTTTGTTGAGAGTTTTTATCATAAGTGATGTTGTATTTTATTAAATCCTTTTCCACATCTATCAAAATGATTTTTATCCTTTATTTTGTTACTAAGGTGTGTTATATTGATTTTGTGGATATTAAACAATGCTTGCATCCTTGGAATAAATCCCACTTGATACATTCTTTTAATGTACTACAGAATTCAGTTTGCTTATATTTTGTTGGGGATTTTTGTATCCATGTGTTAGGGACACTGTTCCCGTAATTTTTTTTTTCTTTTCTTGTGGAATCCTTGTCTGGTTTTAGTATCAGTAACGAGACTGAAGCAGTGATCAAAAACCTCCCCAAAAACAAGAGCCCAGGACCTGACAGATTCCCTGGAGAATTCTACCAAACATTCAAAGAAGAAATAATACCTATTCTCCTGAAGCTGCTTCAAAACATAGAAACAGAAGGAAAGCTTCCACACTCTTTCTGTGAAGCCAGCATTACCCTGATCCCCAAACCAGGAAAAGACCTCATCAAAAAGGAGAATTTCAGACCAATATCCCTGATGAATATGGATGCCAAGATTCTCAACAAGATCCTAGCTAATAGGATCCAACAGTACATTAAAAAGATTGAATCCCACCATGAATAGGTGGGATTTATCCATGGGATGCAAGGGTGGTTCAACATTTGCAAATCAATCAATGTGATAGAACAAATCAGTAGGAGAAGAGAGAAGAATCACATGGTCCTCTCAACTGATGCAGAAAAAGCATCTGACAAGATACAGCATCCGTTCCTGATTAAAACACTTCAAAGTATAGGGACAGAGGGAACATTCCTCAACTTCAAAAAATCTATCTATGCTTTCCTTATAAAATGAGTTTGGAAGAGTTTCCTTCTCTTCTTATTTTTTGGAAGAGTTTGAGGAGAATTTTTGTTTGTTGGAAGGTTTTTGTTTTTAGCATTCATTTTTAAAAATTTAAAATCAATTAACATACATTTATAACATAACTATTATTAGTTTCAGAGGTAGAATTTAGTGATTCATCAGTTGCACAGAACACCCACTGCTCATTATATCAAGTATTATCCTTAATATCCATCACTGAGTTACCCCATCCTCCCAACCATATCCCTTTCAACAACCCTGTTTGTTTCCTAGTTAAGAGTCTCTTATGGTTTGTCTCCCTCTCTGATTTCAACTTATTTTACCTTCTCTTTCCCCATATTCATCTGTTTTATTTCTTAAATTCCACATGAGTGAAAGCATATGATATTTGTCTTTCTCTGATTTATTTCACTTAGCATAATACCATCTAGTTCCATCCACATCATTGTAAATGGCAAGATTTCATCCTTTTTGACAGCTAATATTCCATTGTTTATACCATATCTCCTTTATCCATTCACCTGTCAGTGGACATCTGGGCTCTTCTCATAGTTTGGCTATTGTAGCCACTGCTGCTATACACACTTCAAATCACTATGTTTGTATCCTTTGGAAGAGTACCTAGGAGAGCAATTCCTGGGTCGTAGAGGAGCCCTATTTCTGACTTTTTGAGGAAACTTCATACTGTTTTCCAGAGTGGCTGCACCAGTTGGCATTCCCACCAACATTTTAAAAAGGTTCCCCTTTCTCCACCTCCTTGCCAACATCTGTTTCCTGACTTGTTAATTTTAGCCATTCTGACTGGCATGAGGTGGTACCTCATCACAGTTTTGATATGTATTTCCCTGATGCCTAGTGATGTTGAGCATTTTTTTCATGTATTTATTGTCCGTTTGTATGTCTTCTTTGGAGAAATGTCTGTTCATGTCTTCTGCCCATTTCTTGATTGGATTATTTGTTCTTTGGGTGTTGAGTTTGAGAAGTTCTTTATAGATTTTGGATA